ATCTTGGAAGAACCGACGGTAATAGTCATGTATAGTAGTAGCCTTTTGTTTGTGATTCGAAATGATTTCTTCATCCCCACTTTTAATATGTGTGCATTGAGCCCAATATTGTGGGATAAAATACATTTACAATTTTTCATTAGCTACACAAGGTCAGATTGGCTTCATTTTTTGGATGATGATGGATAGTTTTGAGGATTTTATGTCATTAAGGAGGATATCATTATCCATTCTATGTTTGAAAATTCTTGTCTTAAGCTTTTTGTTAGTGGTTTAGGTATTTGTCCACTGGGTGATGTATAGAGCTGTCAGTCTACCCTTTTGGTATCAGAAAAAGATTCAATGGTAAACTAATGAATGCAAAAGCAAAAAATGTTCAAGAACATGAAGAATATCATAATGCTAAGAATTCAATAATATACTCGTGCATTTGTACAATACAAGAGAATATTATTCGTAGATGCATCAAATAATTCAAATCGAAAATCTATTTAGTCAAACATTAAAATGATTTACGAGATTTACTTAATACGAGATTCAATACTTGTCAAGCCGAGCATTATTGAAGCTTAATCGAAAACTAGCTTAAAAGAACTTGCAAACTCTCTCTAACTCATAACTCATCTTAATCGCAGTTGAAATCATATTTTAATGTTTTTTAGAAATAGTTAAAAAAACATATTTGAATTTTTTAACAGAAATAAAAACAGTAGGTAGATAATCTAAAATTTTATTGAGGAAATGACGTACATATATATATATATGTATATATAGGTATTGTATAATTAAAATATTTAATTAAAGCTGAATCAATGAGTCATAAGCAACTCCAGCCTTCCAATCACGGGGTATAACATTTGGTGCTTGCACCCACTTCAACCCTGCAGGTCCACTAAATTGGAATCTCAAGCTGATGTCTCCTCTTGGTGGATTAGCCATGTCATAAACTGCTCCAAAAGCCCTTCTCATGTCAATCCATTCTTTACAATCTTCTTGCCATATTTGAAGTGCTACGACGTCGTTTAAACCAGACTGGTACAAGAGAACAATGGCCAAGTAATTCGGAAAGCTGCTATGCTCATGTACCTTGAACATAAGGCCGTAACTTGCAGAGTAGCGACAAGGAACTCTCCGATACTCGACGTCAACTACTCCATTACTGAATAGTTCGACTGCCATGTTTGGCAGTGCAAGTCTTGCGAAGGCACGCTCGCTAAGTATGAAGTCTGTGTTGTCTCCTTCACCGTAGTCTGTCACCACTACGTTCACTCCTTCTTCGCTGCAATATAAAACCGATGCGCATCTAACCTGTAATGATATCTTAATTAATAGATATACGAATAACAACTCAATAAGCTTTACATTATGTTGCTTAAAGTGGTTTTTAAAGTAATTAGAGAATTAAGTGTTGTTTTATTTAAATAATTAAAAGTTTAAAAAATGGATAATCAATGTTATGTGTAGCTTAATTTTATGAAGAAAATAATTTATTATAATAATAATATCATTCATTTTAAAAATATTAAATCATGTGCTTTTAAATAGTAAAAAAATATATATATAAAATGTTTAACTTTTTTAGAAAATATTAAATTATCATTTTCTCTCTTCTTTCTTCCAATTTAGAGGAAAACATAATTTTTTTTTTCTTGACTTTCCTCTGCCCAAATACTCTTAGAAAAATGATTTTTTTTTTTTTAAAAAAAAAAAACCTAAAGAAATAACATGCATCACCATCATGTATGTATATATATATATATATATATATATATGTTTATATACATATATAGTAAGTAACCTGATAGCAACCACCACAGCCAGTTCCATTCTTATAAAGCCTAGAAACTCCAGCCACATTAGCATCATTCACACTCCTTCCAAATTCACCATATCCACAAGCTCCTCCTGCATCACCATCATGTATATACATATTATATATATATATATATGTAGAGTACCAGATATATATATATAAATGGGTAGTACTGAAACCCTACTTGGTGTTCCTAAGCAATCAGGGCTACCATAATACGTCGCTCGAGAGGGCACAAATGGGTAACTCCCTACAACACCCAAAACCAAGACCATGCAAAGAATCCACGTTTTAGCTGCGAACACCATGTTTATTTAACAAGTAAACCAGGTGAGGAAGGTAGGATATTGTAGTGTATAATATATAATTGAAAAGGAATTGAATGATTTTGAGATGGGAATGTCGAAAAAATGAACATCCCATATTTATAGTGGAGAGTAGTAAATTGGGACACGTTCTCTTCCCCACTGATGAATACTAAAAGTGTATGTACATGTGTATGCCCACAGAAAATATAATTAATTGAACTTAATTTTAACTAACATAATAATATTTCTCTGATAATTTATTTTAATATTATATTACAGGGAAAAAAAAACATTATAGTTAGAGGATATTTGCCTAACTTTTGCACTTGTTGTCTTTTACATCTTCCTGAGCCGCCTGTATATTAGTTAGATGATATTTTAACAATGGGTTTTGCCATCTTTCAATTGAGTGTGAATAACCTGCTTTAGGTGGTAATAATATATAATTGCAAAACTATAATTCTATCGTACTTCCAGTTTAAGCACAAAATCTTTGTAAATAAGATTCGGATCTACACCATTTAATTGCTCTAGTAAAATTATTTACCAAAAGTTTTGCTTATCTAAAGCTCATAAAGATATATATATATATATGTATATATATGTATGTATGTATGATGGAACAAATCCAAATTTATTAAATAGATAATTTAGGTAAAATAGCAATGGGGTCATTTCCTAAGTGATATGATATATTTAGGTGTTAATTGCTTATGATAATCCCTTTTTTCAACCATCTCTTAGAAGCTATATATGTATCCTTTTTGTCTTCTTCCTCGTAAAGATATTTATATCTACAGGCAGCATAAAGCTGTGGATGTCTCAATCAATAAGAAGCGAGTTTCCTTTTGTATACTCTTTATAATATGAAAGCAATAGTTAGTAAGGATTCAGAGAACAAAAATTGTTTAGGATTTTAAAAATATTAAGAGAAAGGGACAAAAATATGATCGGAGTTTAGAACATTTAACTCAAACCATATAATATAAATGGGGATTATTAGAATTTGGGTTATGTGAGAATTTAATGGGAGAGAAATATACGACTTCATCCAAACAAAACAAAACAAAAAAAAATTAAATTTATCCTCTCTTAGGATGGTATAGAAACTATATAATCTATTTCTTGATTTCAATTCTAATATGGAAGAGTAACTCAAAAAATCGACAAATTCTACTACAACTAGAAACATATATCATATGATTCTTTATCGTTAACAAATATATATATATATATATATATATATATGATTGGACTAAATTTAATCAATAATAAAAAGTAAAATATGTTTATTTATATTAAATATTCGTATTTCTTTATTTCTTTGAAATAGATTTTTTTATGCTTTTAAAATATTATATAATTTCAATACACATAAAATATATTAAACTCAATAGCATACCTTAAATTTTATATTAGTATCTTAACACATACATTTAATTAGCTATTAGTTTAGCCTCAAATAATTCTATATATGCTACTTTAATTACATATATATATATATATATATATCTATTTTAACTCCCTTAGTTTTAAATAATCTTTAAGTAACTTAAAAGTAGACTAGTGTACATATATATATATATATATATTTTTTTTTTCATTTATAATAATTTTAACTCTCTCTTTATATTATAACCCTCTATTTATTCTTATAATTTTACATGTGATAGTTTATATTTAGTTAAAATTTTTAAAACTATGTAATAGAAGGTTGATAATTAAAAATCTAGTTCTAAAAAATAAAAATTAAAAAATGGCTGCCAAATGGCACCCAGGAGCATGCTTCCACCTACCCACAATTCTTGTGTGGTGGTCGAATATTTATTTATTTTTTTTAAAAAAATAATAATAATAATAATTAGTTGCCACTATCTAATTAAAAAATCATATTTATTTGTTATTATTTATTAAATTTCAAAATCAACATCT